TATATATATATATATATATATATATTCCTATTGGTCTTCTCAAATGTAAATGTTAAATACATCAATGAAAATGTAATTACCAATTGATGTTTTCAAAATTATATTGGATACTTTATTCTTTCTCGGTATAATTATTATATTTTCATTTCAAATGCTCTTAACTATCCCATTATTTTATCTCTTTTTCTCTGTATTTTCATATTCTTTTGAAAATTTGAAGTGAATTATTAAAGTGAATAATTGATATAAAATTTTTGCGATAGATAACATCAACACACAATTCTTTTTGTTTTCAGGTCCTACCATTTCATCACTTTTTTTCTTATTTGTTTTGCAACTTTTTATTTCTTGTTTGTTGTTTATTTATATCCAAATACTTTTTAGAATTAAGTAAAAGAAAATGTCAAATAGAAAGGTATTCTCTATATCTATATATAAGTAAAAAATACTTTAAAAAAATTTAACTCAAGTATATAAATTTCAACCAAGTAAAATTTATTTATTGTTCTTAATCCAAAAATACTTCTAAAATTAAGAATGTTTTAGTTAATGTAACGTATATATAATACAAAATCTTGAAAATTAAATACATTTAACTAGCTTCCTTAATCTGTGTGAAATTAAAAAAAAATGTTTACTAATATATAGAAAGTAAGAATTTGGTTTTAATTTTTTGTTTAATATACATAATCATGAGTTTAATATCATATGAGTTAACGGTTTAATTAATTAAATTTATATTATACAAAAAAATTAATATTTTAGCACTCATTGCACAAGCTAAATATTTATTGTATGTAGCTAAAATTTATAATAAATTATATATGTAAATAAATGTTTGAATATATAAATTATATTTAAAATTTGTATAAATAGATACTTTTAAATATATAAATTATATTTTAAATTTTTAAATTTATAATTTATATTGTAGTATAGTATTATTTTTATTTATTGATAAGCTATTTTTAATTATTAAAATTTAATTCATAAAAAATTATGATAAATAAAAATTAAATTAGATAAAATATTTTAAAAAAATCTCTGAAATCTCTCTTGTCGAAGAAAAGTTCCTAAAAAAATGTTCTTATACAAAATAAATATTCGTGTTTAATAGATAAAGATTGATTATTGAAATAATTATAATTAATATCTTATATTTTTTTTAAAGAAATCAGACTTTCTTATTCAAAATATTTGTATTACAGCAAATATATATTCAAAAGACTAGAAAAAATATCAAAAGATAAATATTCAAAACATAAATATCCAAAAGATTAATATCTATAAAAAAAATACAATATTAATTACGATTATTTGAATAATTCAATATTAATATTTTAATTAATTATTTTAATAATTACAATTATCATTATCACTATTATGACTATCACCACCACCTTCAATGTCATTGCCTTAGTGCCACCGTCAACAATTTGAAATGATCAACAATCTTTTCTTGTTAATCAAAATTTTTAAGGAGATACAAAATTATAAATTGATTTCTTTAAATAAAAAATGAGATTCATTATTTTACAAGTGCTAGTAAATTTTAATCATCGCACTACAAATTTTTTGTGCTCAAAAAGTTTAGATTAGCCACGTCTGCATGCAAGGCACGATTCCATATAAAATTAAAACTAATTACTAATACCCGTGTAAGATCACATAAAAGAATATAAAATATTGAAAAAAAATCCATTTCAAGCCCTAACAATAGGAAAGATGATTTAACTAACTGAATCGCGGAATAACATACTACAGTGTGTTATTGAAAAAGTTTAAAATATCTTACTAACATTCTTTCATTCATTAAACTGGACAGTTGACTCATAGTTCAGGTTAAGAATTTAATTTGTTGAATGAAATCATTGTCGCAATCAAAATTATAAACTAAGAGAAGAAATAGAAAAATACGGGGGCAAAATTGTAATTTGATCCGAAGTTTAAAAATAATTAATTGCCGACCGGAGTTTCTTGTGATGGTGGCTTAGAATGATCTAATAAGGTTGTTAGAGTTCTTCACGTCACCTTTTCTATTAAGTTTCATTTTCATGAAGAAAATAAAGGATGAGAGAGAGATGTATGAATCGGTGACTTAGAACAACACTTTTGTCAATCACGTGGGCAGCCTATCATGCTAGACCACACATGACCCACTTACTCCAAGCAAGCAAACTTGGTAGCTTCACCTGATTAGGTCAATCACATTAACAAGGTAATAGACGCTGCTCTTCCTTTTTATTATTATTTTTTTCCTTATAAAATTGCCTCACAAAAAAGGGAATATGTACATTCATCAATTTTGACCAGTTCCAAAGAAACAACTATTTCTTAACGTTGTTTGCATAGACGGTGTTTAGTTTGTAAATGGTTGCTTAGTAGCACTGCAACAAAGACTTGTCGTTTTTTCTAATTTCTTTCCACTCATGATATAAACGACTGAAATAAATCTAATTACATGGACCCCAATGCCCAAAAGAGTTCGAAGGCTTGAGCCTTCAGCGGTAACTTGAATTTCATCGACATTAATTCACCTCTACTGCAAGTTGACAGGCCATAATTAAGAGGTCCACAACAAAATTCTTACTCCTTCAGATTTGAGCATGAAGAAAAGCATTTGACGGACCTCGCTCCAATTCATATTTACTTTTACAATTTTCTAAAATAAAATTATTAATCTCCATCCTGAATGTACAACACAGTTTAAAATCTCAATGACCAGATATAAACCAAACATCCCATAATTTCCACAATCTCAAATTACAGGGATCATGATATGTTGGATTAACAAGGACTCATTTGACTAGATAGCTTGCACTTATCCAATAAGTTTTTATAAAATGAGTTTATTCACAAGTATAATTTAGAGCTTTACAAAACAAGTTCAATATATATATATATATATATATATATATGTGTGTGTGTGTGTGTGTGTGTGTGTGAGGAGGGATCCTTTTACTCCAGGAGTAAGTCTACCTAGACTTACTCTGTTCAATAACTCATGTTCTACATCAAATTTTAACGATCCAACCGTTTAATTTAAAGTTCTTAATGCATATAGATCAAATTTGCAAATTTTTAGAAAATTTAAAAATCATTTAATACTTCGTTTCATTAATTCGAATCAATATATAAAATAATTTTATGATTATCAGTCAATTTGAATTAATGAAATGAAGTATCAAATGATTTTCAAATTTTCTAAAAATTTGCAGATTTGATTTATGCATTAAGTACTTTAAATTGAACGATGGGATCGTTAAAATTTGATGTAGAATGAGTTATTGAACGGATCCCTCCTATACATACATACATACATACATACATATATATATATATATATATATATATATATATTCGGGTTAACTTAGTGAAAATTATTGAAATAAGATTAAAAAAAATGTTTATAGGAAGGCTATAGGTTATTTTGATATGCTCAAAAAAAGCTCTTTCAAACAATCCCTAAATCAAGTTCAAAATCAAAGGAATTCACAAACCCTCATTATTGTCCAAGTATATGCAAAGATTCATGAAATAGGCAAGATAGATAGTAATGATGGAGTGACTATCTTCAAACATCACAGATGTTACTCATGCTTTTTATGTAGATTAAGCTCTAAAAGTAATCATGAAGTATCATGTTAGCGAGTTATGCACCAGAAAAGAAGAAAAGAAAAAAAAGCAAGGCAAAAGAAAAGAGTTAAAACAATAGCTAACTAAAGCAACCTGCAAGAGTTTGAGAAAAACTATTGGAGCAAAAACTAACTGAATTGGGGTGAGACTAATTTTATCGAACATGAAGGATGCCCTTAACTTGGCTACTCTTTGTGTTGAGCGTCATTGGCAGTGGCAGAAGAAGACGGTTCAGAACATGCCTTCAGGACAGCTTCATTCTGTGAATCCAAGAGACAGGCCATAACATTAGCCATTGACAATTCTTTTTATTTCTTTAGAAACAAATAAGACATGAAGAATGTATCAAAAAAATAAGACATGAAGAGTACATAGGCAATGACATGCATGAGGCAATTATATATGTTATGAACAAAACAATGCAGTTTTATTCATTATCGTAAACAAAAAAGTTAAAGCAAATATCAAATAGGTGATGGATGAGGAAGAAATGAACATTTTTACCTGCCAGACACGGAGGAGACGCTTCTTAGCATTGGCTTTACGCGTGGTGGTGAGCTTGATTCTCTTCCAAACGAGACCTCCAGAATCGTGCTTCTTCACAATCTCCATCACCCGTGTCCCACAAAACGCACCCCCCATCTGATTACAATTTCCAAACGCAATCAGATTCAATTCTTAATTAACAGAATCATCAGTTATCAAATCACTCTTACCCTTCCCTGCACCCTCAACAGGATTTTGGTTCTTACCGAGTAATTTTTATATTTTGAGCATTTATGAATCTACTGTAAATTATTTATCTCATTCATTTTATATACATAATCTTTGGTATAACAGTCATTTTGCTACCCCGCTGAAGCATTTTTCTGGTTGGCCAGACACCTCTATCCTAGATTGACAACTGTGATTATCAACACAGCCTCATAGGGAAGTCAACATTTTCCTTGTTGAATCAATCATGTGTTGAAAACTTCATAACCTGGGTATTATTATCACACTAACGATAAAACTCATACAATGCCATCTAATAATCTTCACGGGCAGCCAAATTTACATAACATTCATATACATAAATTAAATGGTGCATAAAACATTTAACACTTAACTCCACAGTCAGTTTAAGAAATAAAGGATGCCATCAAGATAAACTCTAACCTGCTTGGAGAAGTTAAAAGTCATAAACTTCATAACAGGCCTTAGACCAGGGTAAGCAGCGCCAACTCCAATCCCAGCAAACCCAGCCTGTATTATATTTCACAAAAAATATGATTTCAATCCAACAAGCGCAACCAAGTATCTATAAATCCAGTTCTTTAATTCTCTCCTACGATAATCAGTTAAATTTAATTCATAAAAGTTCATCTGTTAATCTTATTTTTAAGATGGAAAATACACAACCCATGTTATTGAAAATGCAATCAAACCCTGATATTCCCTAACCTGCACTTTAAATACAAGAAATATGAAGAACATCTGCGTATTCATTTTCCGTTAAAATCTAAATCAGAGAAATACCTCTTTGGCGGGGGAAGAGAAATGTCTGAATGCGGAGATGGCAGGGCGAATACTCTGCAAATAAAAAAGTTCGTCTTCAAATGAAATTGAAATGGAAATTGCGATGAGACACGGACAAATGTCGTACCTTGTGCCTTGTAACACCCCACATCTTGCTTCCTTGATCTTTAAACTAGACAGTCACAACAGCCGTAATCCATCAACAAATTTCATTTTTTTTAATTTAAAAAACTTAACTGGTCAACAACTCGCATGAGAGCAAAAATCTAGAGTGGATACAAAAACCCTAAAATTAAGAAGCACGAGAATTGAAAGAAAAAACTGGCAAAGGAAGAAGAATCCGTACCAGTAGCCGGATCAGATCGCCACTCGCTCAAAGAGATACACCAGTAGCTGGAACCAAACCCCCGAAAAACTCCTTCGCAATGGAATGCTGAAAGTTCTTCCGAAAATATTAATATAATTAATTATATTCTTATTATTGTTAATCTGGGTAGATTACCAATCATCCTAAATTTGGTGTTTTTAATTTTTTTTATGATATTCTCTCGTATTTTTAATACCTTTTATAAAAATTATGCACCATTTGTATTAAATTGTTTCCAATATAATCATTAAGATTAATTTAGTGATTAGACTATTTTTATAATATTTTATATCTTTACCAAAACAAATATTTTTCTAATTTATTTGATTTTTCTACTTGTTTTTTTGTGCATTTTACAATTTTTTCTTAATATTTTCTGATAACTTAATCCTAATAATTCTTTAATTTATTTTTGTTTTGTTTGTTTTAATTGCTAAACTTCATTAGTATATTTTAGTTTTTCTATTTCATTATCTATGATTCTTTTCATTTTTATGCCTTTCTAGTATAGTTTGACATCTTTCTCTTATTATCATTTTTCTTTCTATCATAGTTTTTACTTGATATGGATAGTTATTATTATTCATTACATAATCAATTAATTTTTGTAAATTTTTATACGTTAAAGTTTCATTCTCTTATTTGTTTAGTTTGTAATAATTTTAACAAATCATTAGTAGTTGAATCTCTTCTTTAAACTCTTATTGTAGTATTAGAATCTTCTATATCTTGCCTTGTAGTCATATTTTTTATTTTTATTGTATAATCAGAATTTTTATTATCCATTTTCTTACTAAATCCTTGTTCTGAAATCAATCTATTCTTAGAAATCCTAGAACTCCTCTCTTTCTGTTAATCCATATCTAATTATATTTTCTTCATTTCTTTCCTCAATTTCTACTTAATCTAATTCTCCCTAAAAATAATTTTCAATTAATATATTCATTATTATTTTTTATTTCTCTAGGAAAAGGTAATAAGCATATTACTATTTTTTCTATATCCCCTAGTAAATAATCATCTACGAAATATGTTACTATATTTTTTTTCAGCAATTATATTAGCAAGATTTTTTTTATTTGTATAGCTAATTTATTTATTTCATATTATTTATCTTTATCAACATTTTTTGGTTTTTAAAATTTATTACATGTTCTTTGTGGATGATGTTCTTTTATTCTTAAAAGCTAAGTCCTCACAATTTCGATTTGTGAAGTCCCTCCTTGTTAGGTTCTCTACATCCTCAGTTTTGCACTTTAACCTTGCTAAATCAAGCATATGCTTCACGTGGGGTTTCTCCTAGATGTAAACAAAAACTGTTGAATATTTCTCGTGTACGGTTTACTGAAGATCTAGAACCTTACTTAGGCTTTCGTATGGTGATGGGTACGAGTTAAGGTGAGTCATTTTTCTCCTATTATTGATAAAGTGCAACGACAGTTGGCTTCTTGGAAAGGCAGGGTTTTAAATCGGGCTAGAAGAGTAACTCTTGTAAATTTGGTGTTAGTAGTGATCCCTACTTATACCATGCAGGTGCAATGGATACCACAATAGACATATGATACTCTAGATTAGATGATGAGGTGCTTTATTTAGAGTGGTACCACACAAAGAGGGCTTCATCTAGTCAATTGGGACATAATCACAAGGCCTCGTAAGTTTGAAGGTCTGAGAGTGCGTATCGGCCAATTTTAGAATACATCATTACTTGGAAAGCTACTTTGGGATTTTCATAGACAATGAGAAGTTATGGGTCAAGTTGGTTTGGACTAAGTATCCAAGTAGGTCCTTATGCGACAAGGTGCAGGTGAAGAGGTCATACTTTTGGACTTCTCTTTACAAGACATATGAATCATTAAAAGAAGGTTTTCATCTACAACTTGGAAGAGGTGAGGTTCTCTCCTAGTTTGCCCGTTGGTTGGCTGACTCACTTTTGTGCTTGGAGGTGCCATATGTCCATTATCAATATATTGAACTTCATGTATGTGACATTGTGTGAGGAAACCACCGGCAACTACAACAACTTTACACTCCCATATCAGAGGGTTTGCGTAATCAAATTCAAGAATACCACGTAACTTTTCAACCTTTGTTACCAGACGTGATGGTGTGGGGGGCGAGCATTTCTAGTCAGTACTCTACTCGAGCAAGATACCTTTGGCTCTTGGAATGTGCGAGAAGGTGTTGTGGAACTTCATGGATGTGGTTATGGCGGCTAAGGGTACCTGAGAATTTGAAATTGTTTCTTTGGCAATTGGCATAGAATAGCCTTCCATTACAACAGTGGCTCATGTCAAGACATATGGTCCAAGATTATTGGTGCTTGGGCTGTGGTAGGTGTTGTGAAGATACTTTGCACATATTTTTTGTGTGATAATGTGGTGGTAGTGTGGAATAGTATGGGTCTTAGTCGTAATTCTCTCTCTCAAACATCTTTGGTATGACATAATTGGTTGTATGAGTGTTTCTTTCGCTAGGGGTCATTAGGTTTGGTGGCATTGTGGGAGATTTGGTTGGCTCGAAACTTTACTGTGTTTTAGAATCATAGGGTTCCCACTCATCTTGTGGTGTCACATATTTGGACATTAAATGGCATGATTAATCGTGTCTTTCACATTGAACCCCACCACGAGAGGCTCGGTGGGTCTCTTGTCTTTCAACGAGCTTGGATCATATTACAGTGCATGTAGGTGGTCGTGCCCTGGGTTGCACAAATCTTGCTGAGTATGGTGGCCTATGTAAGGATAATAGTGGACGTTGGCTCATGGGTTTTTATGGAGATGATTGGGTTGTAGATAATTTAAGAACCGAACTAGCAACCATTTTAAAGGGCTTAGAGTTGGCATGGCAATAGAACTTTAGAGATATCATGTGTGTCTCTGACTCTCTTAATGCTGTGAATTTGATCTTGGGACCATTATAACCTTTTCATAAGTACGTAATGACTATTGCAAAGATTTAAGAGTTTTTCCACCATGATCGAAGATTATCATTAAAAATATAGAGATGGCAGTTACTTGTATTAAGATTGATTTATTCTTATTAAATAATAGCATCCTCATTTAAGGAAACTGTCTCATACCATTATTTGATACCTATTTCAATGGTTAAGTTATTCAAAGTGAAAGCAATGCCTTTTGTACTGAAAGTACAACCACCCTTTTCTTCGAAATGCAATATCAAAAAGTTGTCAAAGGGCAAATACCTATCAATTACTCTAAACTTTATCCAATTAAGGAAAGTCAATTTGACGGTTGAAATGAAACAATTTGCGCGGAAAAATGCGATGTGAATATTCCAGACCCAAATATTCATTCAAAAACTCCAATAAACCTATAACAAATTTGAATTGTGAGAAAACCTCAACATGGAGCAATTTTTCCGAGAGAACGAAACAATGAAATCTAATATACATAAGCGCAAAGGCACAAAAATAAAAGAAAACAAAATTACTCCAAATCGCATCTGAACATTTATAAGTCGCACTATTAACTATGTATGGTTTACGTTTTTAGAGGAAACATTCAAAATGAAAGGAAAACAAAATGAAATGAAACCAAGAATGAAGGGGATGTATATAATGGAAAGTATAATAGAGGAAGTGAGAGAGGATATACCGTAATGGATAATAGATTATGCACCGATGTGCAGTTGGCTTAACAAAAAGAGAGGAAGCAAGAAAGACGAAATTGTGAAAGTGGGAATAATGAGTGCAATTACTTAAAAAGGTTATTTGGTGAGGAATAAAAGATTTTAAAAATATAGAGATGGCAATTACTTGTATTAAGATGATAGTTATTAAGGGTAAAAAAGTCATACTAAAAGATCAAATAGTGGTTATGAATATTTGTATCCCTTTTATATAATGTTATATATATATATATATATAATTTTTTTCATTTTTATTCCATGCACTATTATCATAATAATATTTATCTATTTTCTTTTATAATGATTGCTTGATTCTCCTTCTTCAAATTTTACTTAAATTTCTTCATTTTTTAATTCAGAAGTAGAATAATTTAGAATTATTTTATCATTTTCTTTATCTTTTATGTTTTTTACTTCTTGAATTCATATATTTTCATGTTTAATAATTTTTAATTATTCGAGTAATTGTTGAATTTCTTTTGTGTTTGTAGAAAGAGAGAAATGCCACGATCAACACATTATTTTTAATATATTCTTTATCATATCAAAATGTATAAATTTCAAAATATTTTAATTTGTTAAAATTAGTCTTTATATCAACACAAAACAGATATTACAAAAAATCAATAGAGACTTAAAAAAAATAAAAAGATTAAAAATCTATTTAAACTATAAAGCTAAAAAGAATTAGATTAAATTATACATGTTGTCTCCCTATTTATTTATAAAATTTAATTTTGTCCCACTATTTTAAATAGTTTGATTTAGTGCATTATTTTCTTTTTAAATTCAATGTTATCTTTCTGTTCAAATTAATATTAATAGTGTTAATAAAATTTGATAGAAGGAAACATTAATCATCATTTAGAAATTAGATGACAAAATTAAATCATTTAAAATGTTCATTTTGATCTCATTATTTTTAAAAATATTCAATTTGGTCCTCTAATTTAACAAAAAATGTTTAAAGTTGTCATTTCACTTAATTTCATTAACATCATTAATGTCAATTTAGACAGAAGGACAACATTGAACATTTTTAAAAAATTAAACGACCAAATTGTGTAATGACCCGCCATGATCCCTACACTTAATGATATCCCACTAATCTATTAGTGAACTAAAATAAAATATTAGACTAGATGACAGAATATACATATATGTAAGAAGAAATAAGAAAATAAATATTTACATACAAAATATCATACTATGCATATACAACTATCCTAGTGTCGGTCAAGCACCAATAAAACAGGTACCCAAGTGGGTAACTCTGACACCAAGAACAAAATTCCACTCTCCGCAGCGGTCACCATAGCCAGCTCTAACCTAATCCTAATCTACTTTCATACACGGTATGATCATCGCAGTCCATCCACATGAAAATAGAAGGGTAAGCTAGAGTTCAATAAACAACCATACAAGTATAGGGTAATGATATACTACTCATTCATCCAATC